TGTCTGCCTGTCTTCTGTCTTTCTGTCTGTCTGTCTGTCTCTGTCTGTCTGCCTGTCTCTGTCTGTCTGTCTGTCTGGTGTCTGTCTTGTCTGCCTGTCTGTCTGTCTTTGTCTTCTGGTGGCTGTCTGTCTGTCTGTCTGTCTGTCTGTCTGTTTGTCTGTCTGTCTGTGGCTGTCTGTCTCTTCTGTCTTTGTCTTCGGGTGGCACACCTGTCTGCCTGTCTTTGTCTTCTCTGTCTGCACACCTGTCTGCCTGTCTTCTGTCTTTGTCTTCTGGTGGCTGTCTGTCTGTCTCTGTCTTTGTCTTCTGTCTGGCACACCTGTCTGTCTGTCTTCTGTCTTTGTCTCTGTCTGGTGGCACACCTGTCTGCCTGTCTTCTGTCTTTGTCTTCTGGTGGCTGTCCTGTCTGCCTGTCTGTCTGTCTTTGTCTTCTGGTGGCTGTCCTGTCTGCCTGTCTTCTGTCTCTGTCTTCTGGTGGCTCTGTCCTGTCTGCCTGTCTTCTGTCTTTGTCTGTCTGGTGGCACTGTCTGTCTGCCTGTCTGTCTGTCTGTCTGTCTGGCACTGTCTGTCTGTCTGTCTTCTGTCTTTGTCTCTGTCTCTGGTGGCACACCTGTCTGCCTGTCTTCTGTCTTTGTCTTCTGTCTCTGTCTGTCTGTCTGCCTGTCTTTGTCTTCTGGTGGCACACCTGTCTGCCTGTCTTCTCTGTCTCTGTCTGTCAGGTGGCACACTTGTCTGTCTGTCTGTCTCTGTCTTCTGGTGGCACACCTGTCTGTCTGTCTCTGTCTTCTGGTGGTCTGTCTGTCTTCTGTCTGTTGTCTTCGGGTGTCACACCTGTCTGCCTGTCTTTGTCTGTCTGGTGGGTCACACCTGTCTGCTGTCTTCTGTCTGTCTCTGTCTGTGGCTGTGTCTGTCTGTCTGTCTTCTGTCTTTGTCTTCTGGTCTGTCTGTCTGTCTGTCTGTCTGTCTGTCTGTCTTTGTCTTCTGGTCTGTCACTTGTCTGTCCTGTCTGTCTGTCTGTCTGTCTGTCTCTGTCACTGTCTGTCTGTCTGTCTGTCTCTGTCTTTGTCTTCTGGTGACACACCTGTCTGTCTGTCTGTCTCTGTCTGTGTCTTCTGGTGGCACACCTGTCTGCTGTCTTCTGTCTTTGTCTTCTCTGGCTGTCCTGTCTGTCTCTGTCTTTCTCTTCTGTGTGTCACACCTGTCTGCCTGTCTTCTGTCTTTGTCTTCTGGTGGCACACTGTCTGCCTGTCTGTCTGTCTTTGTCTTCTGGTGGCACACCTGTCTGCCTGTCTGTCTGTCTTTTGTCTTCTGGTGGCTGTCCTGTCTTCTGTCTTTGTCTTCGGGTGGCACACCTGTCTGCCTGTCTTTGTCTTCTGGTGGCACACCTGTCTGCCTGTCTTCTGTCTTTGTCTTCTGGTGGCACACCTGTCTGCCTGTCTTTTGTCTTTGTCTTCTGGTGGCACACTTGTCTGCCTGTCTTCTGTCTTTGTCTTCTGGTGGCACACTTGTCTGCCTGTCTTCTGTCTTTGTCTTCTGGTGGCACACCTGTCTGCCTGTCTTCTGTCTTTGTCTTCGGGTGGCACACTTGTCTGCCTGTCTTTGTCTTCGGGTGGCACACCTGTCTGCCTGTCTTTGTCTTCGGGTGGCACACATGTCTGCCTGTCTTCTGTCTTTGTCTTCAGGTGACACACCTGTCTGCCTGTCTTCTGTCTTTGTCTTCTGGTGGCACACCTGTCTGCCTGTCTTTGTCTTCTGGTGACACACCTGTCTGCCTGTCTTTGTCTTCTGGTGGCACACCTGTCTGCCTGTCTTTGTCTTCTGGTGACACACCTGTCTGCCTGTCTTTGTCTTCTGGTGGCACACCTGTCTGCCTGTCTTCTGTCTTTGTCTTCTGGTGGCACACCTGTCTGCCTGTCTTTGTCTTCTGGTGGCACACCTGTCTGCCTGTCTTCTGTCTTTGTCTTCTGGTGGCACACCTGTCTGCCTGTCTTCTGTCTTTGTCTTCTGGTGGCACACCTGTCTGCCTGTCTTCTGTCTTTGTCTTCTGGTGGCACACCTGTCTGCCTGTCTTCTGTCTTTGTCTTCTGGTGGCACACCTGTCTGCCTGTCTTCTGTCTTTGTCTTCTGGTGGCACACCTGTCTGCCTGTCTTTGTCTTCTGGTGGCACACCTGTCTGCCTGTCTTCTGTCTTTGTCTTCTGGTGGCACACCTGTCTGCCTGTCTTCTGTCTTTGTCTTCTGGTGGCACACCTGTCTGCCTGTCTTCTGTCTTTGTCTTCTGGTGGCACACCTGTCTGCCTGTCTTTGTCTTCTGGTGGCACACCTGTCTGCCTGTCTTCTGTCTTTGTCTTCTGGTGGCACACCTGTCTGCCTGTCTTCTGTCTTCCTAACCAGTCCTGTCCATCTATGACCCAGCTGTGGCCTTGGCTTCCTGCAGTGTATCTTTTCTCTCTGTCAGTGACCCACTTGTGGCCATGACTTCATGTGGCAAGTGTTTTGTTTTCTTTCCTTTGTATCTATGACCCTTAACTGTGTCCATAGCTTCATGCAGCAAATCATTCTTGTCTTCAGCTATTCTGACCTCTCTACTTGTTATCATCTGTGTGTCTGACAGATTTGTTAGGCTCTAGACCAAGCAACTGCCATTAATTCACTTGTTTGTCTCTGTGTTACTTTCATGTTAAACTGCTCCCTGTTACTGCATGTCTGCACTGTGATATCCATCCATCTTCACAGTTCATAGTGTCAATATAGCAGTCAAGTCAGCTGAGAGAATGTGATGTATCAGTGTAACAATGGAGTCAGCTGAGAGAATGTGATGTATCAATGTAACTGTGGAGTCAGCTGAGAGAATGTGGTGTAACAGTGGAGTCAGCTGAGAGAATGTGGTGTATCAGTGTAACATGGAGTCAGCTGAGAGAATGTGGTGTATCAGTGTAACATGGAGTCAGCTGAGAGAATGTGGTGTAACAGTGGAGTCAGCTGAGAGAATGTGTTGTAACAGTGGAGTCAGCTGATAGAATGTGGTATAACATGGAGTCAGCTGAGACAATGTGGTGTAACAGTGGAGTCAGCTAAAAGAATGTGGTATAACAATGGAGTCAGCTGAAAGAATCTGGTGTATCAGTGTAACAATTGAGTCAGCTGAGAAAATGTGGTGTAAAAATGGAGTCAGCTGAGAGAATGTGGTGTAAGAGTGGAGTTAACTGAGAGAATGTGTTGTATCAGTGTAACAATGGAGTCAGCTGAAAGAATGTGGTGTAACAGTGGAGTCAACTGAGAGAATGTGTTGTATTAGTGTAACAATGGAGTCAGCTGAAAGAATGTGGTGTAACATGGAGTCAGCTGAGAGAATGTGGTGTAACAGTGGAGTCAGCTGAGAGAATGTGATGTAACAATGGAGTCAGCTGAGAGAATGTGGTGTATCAGTGTAACAATGGAGTCAGCTGAGAAAATGTGGTGTGACAGTGTAACAATTGAGTCAGCTGAGAGAATGTGGTGTAACAGTGGAGTCAGCTGAGAGAATGTGGTGTAACAGTGGAGTCAGCTTAGAGAATGTGGTGTAACAATGGAGTCAGCTGAAAGAATGTGGTGTAAAGGTGTAACAGTGGAGTCAGCTTAGAAAATGTGGTGTATCAGTGTAACAATGGAGTCAGCTGAAAGAATGTGGTGTATCAGTGTAACATGGAGTCAGCTGAGAGAATGTGGTGTATCAGTGTAACATGGAGTCAACTGAGAGAATGTGGTGTATCAGTGTAACAATGGAGTCAGTTGAGAAAATGTGGTGTAATTGTGTAACAGTGGAGTCAGCTGAAAGAATGTGGTCACAGATTATCAAAGCAACAGATTATCCAAGTGACAGATTACCCAGATGAGAGATTATTCAGACAGCAGAATATCTAAGTGGCTGATTATCCAAGCGACTGATTGTTCATGTGACAGATTATCCAAATGACAGATTGTCCATTTCACAGATTGTGCATGTAACAGATTGTCCATGGCACAGATTGTCCAAGTGATAGATTGTCTATGTCACAGATTGTCCATGTCACAGATTGTCCATGTGACAGATTGTCCAAGTGACACATTGTCTAAGAGACAGATTGTCTAAGTGACAAAATGTCCAAGTGGCAGATTGTCCATGTGACTGATTGTCCATGTGACTCATTGTCCAGGTGACACATTGTCCAGGTGACAGAATGTCCAGGTGACAAATTATCCAGGTGACAGATTATCCAAGTGAAAGATTATCCAAGCGATAGATTGTCCATGTGACAGATTGTCTATGTGACAGATTGTCATATGTGACAGATTGTCCATGCGACACTTCAGATTGTCCATGTGACAGATTGTCCAAGTGACAGATTGTTCAGGTAACAGATTATCCAAGCAGCAGATTATCCAAGAGACAGATTGTCCAAGCAACAGATTGTCTATGTGACAGATTGTCCATGTGACAGATTGTCCAAGTGACAGATTGTTCATGTGACACTTTGTCCATGTGACAGATTGTCCATGTGACAGATTATCCAAGCAACAGATTATCCAAGCGACAGATTATCCAAGCGACAGATTATCTAAGCAACAGATTGTCCAAGTGACAGATTATCCAAGTGACAGATTGTCCAAGTGACAGATTGTCCAAGTGACAGATTGTCCAAGTGACATTTTGCCCAAGCGACGGACTGTCCAAGCGACAGATTTTCTATTGCTTTCTGGATGGGGATTTTGATTGGTTGAACTATGGGCCTAGGTTTCGCCAGGAAGGAATGATTAGTGATTGTCGGACTCCTGAATATCCCTGTTTGTCACCTGGCCAGTCACAGAAGCAAGGGAATACACCACTATCTGTCTGTCATATAGGTTACACAGTAAACTGTGTGTTTGTATGCTGTCTATGTGTCTATAGTATGTTACTGAGTGTGCATCTTTGAGAGTCATTGCATTAATGTGTGTGTTTGCAAACATGTCTGTGATGAGCTGTGACTTGTGAATGACAGAGCTGTCAATGAACCACCTGTGGTAGCCACGCCCCCGCAAGGCAGATCGGAAGGGTCCAGACACCCAGCATCACGTGCATTGGAGGCAGCTCAGGCAGACAACTCTCTTCAAGTTTTGGACAGTAAGGTAGAGTTACCGCTCCTATTTTCATGTTTTTGTTTGCACCATTTGTCTATGAGAGCTGTCACCTGTTTGACCTTATGGCTGGAGGTCCTGTCTTCTGACTGACTGTATGGCTAGAGGACCTGTCTTCTGACTGTGTGGCTTGATGACCTGTCTTTTGACTGACTGTGTGGCTTGATGACCTGTCTTCTGACTGACTGGCTTGATGACCTGTCTTCTGACTGACTGTGTGGCTTGATGATCTGTCTTCTGACTGTGTGGCTTGATGACCTGTCTTCTGACTGTGTGGCTTGATGACCTGTCTTCTGACTGTGTGGCTTGATGACCTGTCTTCTGACTGTGTGGCTTGATGACCTTTCTTCTGACTGTGTGGCTTGATGATCTGTCTTCTGACTGTGTGGCTTGATGACCTGTCTTCTGACTGTGTGGCTTGATGACCTGTCTTCTGACTGTGTGGCTTGATGACCTTTCTTCTGACTGTGTGGCTTGATGACCTGTCTTCTGACTGTGTGGCTTGATGACCTGTCTTCTGACTGTGTGGCTTGATGACCTGTCTTCTGACTGACTGTGTGGCTGGTGTACTTGTCTTTTGACTGACTGTGTGGCTAGAGGACTTGTCTTTTGACTATGTGGCTGGAGGAGCTGTCTTTTGACTGACTTTGTGGCTAGAAATCCTTTCTTCTGACTGGGCGTGTGGCTAGGAAACCTGTCTTCTGACTGGTCATGTGGCTAGAAACCGGTCTTCTGACTAGCCATGTTGCTAGAAACCTGTCTTCTGACTGGCCTTGTGGCTAGAAACCTGTCTTCTGACTGGCCATGTTGCTAGAAACCTGTCTTCTGACTGGCCTTGTGGCTAGAAACCTGTCTTCTGACTGGCCTTGTGGCTAGAAACCTGTCTGCTGACTGGTCTTGTGGCTAGAAACCTGTCTTTTGACTGGCCATGTGCCTAGAAACCTGTCTTCTAACTGACCTTGTGGCTAGGGGACCTGTCTCAGAACCTCAAGGTTCAGATATTAACGTCTGGGAGTTGTTGGACATGCTGGACGTGCATCATCTGTATCAAATCTCCCTCTCTGATCCAGGACCATGTTGTCATAGACAACATCTTCTTCAAGTAGAGATTTGAACCCAGTGTCACAAGACAACAAATTGAGTGCACTACTCACCTTGTTATCTGATCTCTTTTTATAACTGTCAGAAAACTGAAACAGTTGAAACAGGAAGTTGAATTGCAGTCAAATGACCAGTGCTAGAGTGGATCACTTACAAACCACCTGTTCACTGAGTGATGACAGCAGAAAGCTAACCAGTGCTAGAGTGGATCACTTACAAACCACCTGCTCACTGAGTAATGACAGCAGAAAGCTAACCAGTGCTAGAGTGAATCACTTATAATCCATCTGTTCACTGAGTAATGACAGCAGAAAGCTAACCAGTGCTAGAGTAAATCACTTACAATCCATCTGTTCACTGAGTAATGACAGCAGAAAGCTAACCAGTGCTAGAGTGGATCACTTGATAACCACCTGTTCACTGAGTGATGACAACAGAAAGCTAACCAGTGCTAGAGTGGATCACTTAATAACCACCTGTTCACTGAGTAATGACAGCAGAAAGCTAACCAGTGCTAGAGTGGATCACTTAATAACCAACTGTTCACTGAGTGATGACAGCAGAAAGCTAACCAGTGCTAGAGTGGATCACTTAATAACCACCTGTTCACTGAGTGATGACAGCAGAAAGCTAACCAGTGCTAGAGTGGATCACTTAATAACCACCTGTTCACTGAGTGATGACAGCAGAAAGCTAACCAGTGCTAGAGTGGATCACTTAATAACCACCTGTTCACTGAGTGATGACAGCAGAAAGCTAACCAGTGCTAGAGTGGATCACTTATAATCCATCTGTTCACTGAGTAATGACAGCAGAAAGCTAACCAGTGCTAGAGTGGATCACTTATAATCCATCTGTTCACTGAGTGATGACAGCAGAAAGCTAACCAGTGCTAGAGTGGATCACTTAATAACCACCTGTTCACTGAGTGATGACAGCAGAAAGCTAACCAGTGCTAGAGTGGATCACTTATAATCCATCTGTTCACTGAGTAATGACAGCAGAAAGCTAACCAGTGCTAGAGTGGATCACTTATAATCCATCTGTTCACTGAGTGATGACAGCAGAAAGCTAACCAGTGCTAGAGTGGATCACTTATAATCCATCTGTTCACTGAGTGATGACAGCAGAAAGCCAGGCACAAACAAAGACCTCTCCAGTGATCTTCACACATCTTCTTGTCCAGTGATCTTCACACATCTCCTTGTCCAGTGATCTTCACACATCTCCTTGTCCAGTGATCTTCACGCATCTTCTTGTCCAGTGATCTTCACACATCTCCTTGTCCAGTGATCTTCACACATCTCCTTGTCCAGTGATCTTCACACATCTTCTTGTCCAGTGATCTTCACACATCTCCTTGTCCAGTGATCTTCACACATCGCCTTGTCCAGTGATCTTCACGCATCTTCTTGTCCAGTGATCTTCACACATCTCCTTGTCCAGTGATCTTCACACATCTCCTTGTCCAGTTATCTTCACACATCTCCTTGTCCAGTGATCTTCACACATCTTCTTGTCCAGTTATCTTCACACATCTCCTTGTCCAGTGATCTTCACACATCTTCTTGTGACTGTCAGCCATTGTTGATAATATTACTGTGTTGAACTTCTCATACATCAGCACATGCCAGTCAATAGCAACTGTCCATTGATATCATCATGCACTAGTCAGTTCTAGTTTCTGGCAGATGTTAGGTACTTAATTGATAGATTATCCTAATCGCACATTGGACCAGTCCATAAGCACTCAGATCCCATCTTCAGTATCTCGCTCAGTGGCACACAAATTAAACATTCTTATCAGATATTTTCTCTGAGGCTCTAGGCAAAGTCTTCAAACCCATCCTGTCTTGAGCATGTTGATAGGGGCAAGGTATTGACATCCTCAGAGACTAGTCAGCTCCACTCATTCATTGATAGACGTTTATAAAGACCAAATATTGGCCTTCTCGCTCCACTCACTGACATAGAGACCAAATATTGGCCTTCTCGCTCCACTCACTGACAGACGTTCATAGAGACCAAATATTGGCCTTCTCGCTCCACTCAATGACATAGAGACCAAATATTGGCCTTCTCGCTCCACTCACTGACGTTCATAGAGACCAAATATTGGCCTTCTCGCTCCACTCACTGACAGACGTTCATAGAGACCTTATTTGGGCATCTCGCTCCACTCACAGACGTTCATAGACCCAATATTGGCCTTCTCGCTCCACTCACTGACAGACGTTCATAGAGACCATATATTGGCCTTCTCGCTCCACTCACTGAGAGACATTTATAGAGACCAAATATTGGCCTTTTTTTACAGTAATCTCGATCACCAGTGAATTACTGTAGCATATAATGGTAGCTTTACCCTGTTTCTAGCTCTTCCATGTTTCGAGTACAGTGTTTTTGTACCGTGGTTGTTTTTTGTACAGTGTAGACATTAACTGTACCATGATCGTGTTGTGTACAGTGTAGACAGTAACTGTACCATGATTGTGTTGTGTACAGTATAGACAGTTACTACCATCATTGTGTCGTGTGCAGTGTAGACTTTAACTGAACCATGATTGTATTGTGTACAGTGTAGACAGTAACTGTACCATGATTGTGTTGTGTACAGTATAGACAGTTACTACCATCATTGTGTTGTGTACAGTGTAGACAGTAACTGTACCATGATTGTGTTGTGTACAGTATAGACAGTTACTACCATCATTGTGTCGTGTGCAGTGTAGACATTAACTGTACCATGATTGTGTTGTGTACAGTGTAGACAGTAACTGTACCATGATTGTGTTGTGTACAGTATAGACAGTTACTACCATCATTGTGTCGTGTGCAGTGTAGACTTTAACTGAACCATGATTGTATTGTGTGCATTGCAGACAGTAACTGACTGATTGGGTTAGATTGTACCTACCTGTATTGTTACAGTTACTGCTAGTTGAATTGTACCTACCTGTATTGGTACAGTTACTGATGGAGTTGGATTGTACCTACCTGTATTATTACAGTTACTGATGGAGTTGGATTGTACCTAACTGTATTGTGACATTCACATTTAATTGGGTTATATTGTACCTGCCTGTATTGTTACAGTTACTGATTGAGATTGTACCTACCTGTGTTGTTACAGTTACTGATTGAGTTAGATTGTACCTACCTGTATTGTTTTAGTTACTGACTGAGTTAGATTGTACCTACCTGTGTTGTTACAGTTACTGATTGAGTTAGATTGTACCTACCTGTATTGTTTTAGTTACTGACTGAGTTAGATTGTACCTACCTGTATTGTTACAGTTAACTGATAAGAGTTGGATTTTACCTACCTGTATTGCTACTGTTAACTGATAGAGTTGGATTGTACCTACCTGTATTGTTACAGTTAACTGATAAGAGTTGGATTGTGCCTACCTGTATTGCTACTGTTAACTGATAGAGTTGGATTGTACCTACCTGTAGTGTTACAGTTAACTGATGGAGTTGTATGGAATCTTGATATGCTCTGTTTCATTCCTGGTTAGAACGAGTCTAGTTCAGAAGAGGCCCTCTTTTATGACGCATATGACTACCCTCCTGTGGCCACAACAAAAGCTAAACTGGGACAGGTAGCTCTCACCTAGTTGTGCTTGAACCCTTGGCCTTCACCTCAGCATGCTGACTAACTTCCATGTTTTCTTGTTGCTATAACAACCACGCTGTTTGCTTGTATTATCTGACATGACCTGGCCTAGTGTCTTCCTTGTATCTGAAGCTGAACACTGATCATTGATTGGACTGTGTATTTTCATTTGCTTGTGAGGATGGACCAGTTCTCCAAGTACATTCTTGTTTGTCTGTTGCCTCCACCAGCAGTGCCTGCTTGAACACTTGCATGCAACCAACACACTTTT